TATATATATATTGTAAGTTTATTATTCAAAATTTGTTTATAAATTTTATGCCATAATCATTTTATGATTTTTTTTTATTAAAAATGATTAAGTTAAACACGTTTTCTAAATTTTAAAATTTGAAAATTAAAGTTATTTTTAAAAATAAAAATAAAAGATATTTTCTGAAATTAAATGCACCCTAAGATTCAATTGTAAATAAGATGTGAAATGGGTGAATCCAACCTAATTTAAGTCAATTTGTTATTAACTTGTAAAAAAATTAGGTAAATTAGGTTGAATTCGACTAGACCGTTCTATATTTAAGTTAAAATTTTCAACTTAATCTAATTAATAGTGAATTTTAGATTGAGTTGAACCATTAAAAAATTAAATATATTTTTAGTTTGTGTAAAGTAAATTTGTTTTAATTTTAGTCAATGTATAAAAAAAATTAAGTTTCTTATTATTCTAAAATTTAGAATTGTTGCTTTTGATTTATAAAATGAGCAAATTTTGATATCAGTACCTATAAAATATTTTTCTTTAATTTTTATCCCTCTTAAATTTAAAGTCACTATTTTTTGTGCTTAATATTTATTTTAAGGTAGATAAGCTAAATTTGTTTTAAGAATTTATATTAAAAAAAAAAAAAGTAGAGGTATCACATTAACATAATATCAAATATAGTCGTAAGTGCCATTGGAGATGATTATCTGACCATATGATAAATACTAAAGTATTTTAAAAATAATTACATAATATTAGGACTAAATTTTTTTTTTCAATTTTAGAGGATAAAAAACAAAAAAATATTATAAGAACCAAAATAAAAAGTAGTTCATTTAACATGAACTAAAAACATGTTTAAGCCAAATAAAAATTATAAAAATCAATAAATTGATAAATTAACTAAACACAATATCTATATATAAAAGTGATTCTCTATTTTTATGTACACAATTTTTGAATTATTTTATCCTTGAGTTTTTAATTAATAAAAAATAACAAATTAACTATTCTTATAAGTCTAACACTTAAATTCTAAGACTTTGAGGGTTGAAAATATAATACTAATTAATTCAATAAACATTATTGATTCTTAAATATTTTAAAACAAATATCAACACACGAAATGTCTCAATCTCACTAAGCATAATTATATGAATAATATGTTACTAAGTTGTCTAAATACTTTTTTTTGGAAATTATTATGTGAAATAAATATAGAGTAAAGTAACAAAATAATTAAAAATAAAATTTTCACAAAATATTATGTCAAAAAAAATTACTGTTTAACTAGATAATTTAAAAAAAAAATAACATGATGGATTAATTTGACTTTAACTTATCATTTAACTTATTGAGTTGACAAATTATATAGACTTGAATATGAATTAAAGACTTGAATTATGTATTCGAACCTATTTTGGTAAGTTAATTATTTAACTTATGTGATGAGTTGAACTCATTTTAACATCCTTAATTATAATCAAAATTATTTTTGAAGAACTACAGGAATAAAGAGACTAAATGGCAAAAAAAGATTTGTGTGATTAGTATGCAAAAGGTGTATATTATTGTTCGTGTGGACTTTTGAAATAATTAGTCGTGATAATGGCTAATTAAACACCAAATAAATGAAATGATTTTTTCACTCTAACGGTTAACTCGACGAAGAGATTTTGTCTCCCAATTAAATTCTTACTTCACTACCAAGAGTTTCCTAACAATTATGGTATTGGGGATTATGTTATGTTACTCTTAATGGTGGTTAAAGTAAAAAAAGATTGTCAACAGCTGAATCAAAGGAGGAAAACTTGTAAATGAAAATTGTAAAAAGCAATAAGTAAACAAAAAGTAAGAGAAATTTCATTAACTTGGTCGTGGACATCTTTTTACATTTCGAATTTCAATATTTATAGGGCCATAAGTCTACAACTACTATTTGTTACATCTAAAATAATCACATATTCTTGATGGGATTTTGAGGTAAACATACAGAGTCACTGTAATATACAAAAAAGTATGAGTTGTGAAACCTCAAAATTTTTTAAATATTTATAATTCTGAATATTTTAGTAAAAACTTAAAATAAAAAAATTTAGGGATATTATAAACATAGTGTCGTTCGGATTTTAAGAATTATAAAAGATTGTAAATGGACTAGTAATAACACAAGAAAATAACACTTAACAAACATGTTGGGATTAAACTTTACCAATTTCAACCTTATGCACTTCTAAGTAGGCCTGAGCATGGGACGGGTTCGAACAGATTCGGGTAAAAAATATTTAGCCCAATTCAAACTGATCCAAAAAAAATAGCCCATTTTTGACCGTAACAGTATTTCGAGTTTATTGAATTTGGATTTTCGGGTCTCGAATTAACTAGATCGGATTAGTCGGATTGGGCCATAACCCGAGCTCACAACACGAAACAAACAACTCCCATTTGAGCTCAACACCCACGACAAACGAATCAATTATTACTCACAAAGAAAAATTCAATCTTGGACGAAAAACACAAAACTTCACTTCATCCAACAACACCCCCACAATCTCTAAGTTGCCCACCGATAATGTCTGATCAAACATTAAAGGAAAAAAATGTCATTGTCGGAACCGTTGCATTAACGTAAGATGGGCATTACATTGCCCATTTTCGAATATTAAGGAATTTGTTAAAAGGGAAAAAAAGTTTGGAAATTGTGGAAAACGATTGAGACCCATTTATGAGAAGAGAAATGTGGAGTACCTGAGAATGCATTGGATTGTGGAGAATTGGAGATGATGGCACAATGTGGAAAATAGGGGTTGCAGTAGCGGTATGGTTTCTAGTTTCTACGGGCGTGAGGAGAGGGTTTCGCGGCACTTAGGTTTCTACTTTATAACTTCTACTCTCGTGGTCGCGGTGCTAGCTAATAAATAATAATATACCTTTTAAATTTTAATTATTATGTGTCGGTCGGGTATGGATATCAACGGGTTCAAATATTTTAACCCGAACCCGACCAACAAAACCCATACCAAATCGAGTCAAACAACCCGTAAAATTGAAAAATCTGAAGAAAAAAAAAACCATCCAAACTAAAAAATGGACCAAGAAAAACTTCGGTTTCGGGCGGTTTGAAACCTTCTACTCACGCCTACTTGTAAGATATCCATATATGATTTATATCATTCAATGTTATTGAGTTTATTAAGATCATTTCAAATCAATTCCTTGCATTTAGAAATTCTAAAGAATCTGACTAAATAAATGATTCATTTATTTTATCAAATTAGAAATCTTGCATTAAGTTAGAGTTCAACTAACAAACCCAAATCTATTCCTAATCTTTAGAGTTGTTAGGTGATTTGATTCAAAACTAGATTTAGAAAATGTTTTCCAACCAAAATCCAAATCAAAGATTAAAGATGAGTGATCAAGTCACCTTAACATTAATAATAGAATAAAATTAAATTACTAACATTGAATAATAGATCATCATATATATGAATCTAAATGAGTATATATAAGAGTTTGATAGTTTACATTTAATCTCAACAAAAGACAAGGATTAATCACTCATGGTAGTGAGAATGAATCCTTAATACATAGGGAATGAGTAGAAGAAGAAAATAAAATTTGTAAAACCCCTGTTCCTAGCTAATTGGTAGCATTTTGTGAGCCCTCATATATTTGCCTTCTTCTGTTCTCTATCTCCCTTGTTTTCTTTTTCCTCTGCTTTTATATAGGTACAATAAAATAAAACAGAGCATGGAAGGGAAATCGCTTAGCCCTTTCCAAACAATTGAGGGATTTGAAGAATTCTTCATGGTAAAACAACTTAAATGGCCTAGCCCTTTTGAATCCGTTGATCTCCTAGGAGTTAGATTTGTCATCCTTCTCTAGACCCAAACCACTTAACCCTTTCCAAACGGCTGAGTGATTTTGAGTCTACTTTGAGGCCTTTAATATTCTTTGATACCTACAAGACAGAAATTCAAAACTTTATAAATAAAAGCCACATCAACTCTTTCGAAAATACCATTTTATACAACCTTTTGATTCTTCCTAAGTTTATATGGGTAAATAAAAAAAAAATCTTAATTTAAGCTAGATAACTGATAAAATGATTCAATATTTTAGATACAATAACCTCTTATCAACTCCTCACATTTTAGGTGAATGATATTCATGCATCAAAAGCCTCTTGTTTATCCCATGACAATTGTATCATCAATTTAACACCCTTGCCTAGAGGTTTAGAAACCCTTCATAATTTTTTATACCCAACTAACAATTTTAGTGCTAACAACCAATGATTTTTATGCTGTAATATCTCTCATTTTAGTCTATGGTGCAAAACCACATCATTTGTATATATATCTCTTATACATAATTAATGAGGTCGAAATACTCTGTATTTGTTTAAAGATGTTTAAAAATTATTAAATCAATTGATGTTGTGTTTAGTCCTTAAACCTTAAAATCTCATGATGAAATCTTAAATTTGTAATAATAATTAATTTTTAATATTATTTAAAAATTTAATGGTAAAACAGTCCAAAAAATTATATCCATGAAAATATGAAATCGCTTTTTATATATAAGTATAAAAGTATAAATATTAAATTAAAAATTTATTAAATATTTAAAATAATTATATTTTAACATAAAAAATTTCTATATATCTAAAAATGATATTAAAAAAAATATATGAGTGAACATAAAATTATTTAAATATATATTATCATTCATAATTATATATGCACACATATTTTTTTAACAAATATTTTTTTGTAAAATTAAAAATTTAGCATTCTTGTAAGACATGATTATTTTAAAAGTACAGTAAAATAAACAATGTGAAGATGGCAAATACTAAAATACGACTGTTTAATATTTATGTGTAATAGATAGTACTGTTTTTTTTTAATTAAATCTAAATGCTAGTAGCCTTTATTTATATTTGTTATACTGTAACACCATGTTTATAAAAATAAAAAAATAAAAAATGTTAAACAGAGGCTTTATAAGGCGAGTCCTAGCCTAGTTCGAACCACTTCAAAATTCAAAATTTGAAAAGAGCATAGAGAGGAGAAAATGGCGACAGTGTCTGGGAACATGAAGGGTTTCTACAAACAGAAGAAAAACACCATCACTAAAAAATCTTCCAAAAAGTCTCCGATTAACGCTGCCACTTTGGCCTCCGTTGCGGCCCAAACACCGGCCCTCATCTCCCACGCCGGAAACCCCGAATTAGAAGGTACATCTAATCGTTAGGGTTTTCAGTTTTCTCAATCCAATTCCATTTCATCCCTTTCTTAAAATGTGAAATTTCATATGCAGATGAACACAAAGAGAGCGAGGTGATGCTGCGGCAATTCGACATGAACATGGCATATGGGCCCTGCATCGGGATCACGCGTCTCGCACGCTGGGAGCGTGCTCAGAGGCTCGGTTTGAACCCTCCGCAAGAAATCGAGACCCTCTTAAAGGGTGGAAAAGTACAGCCCGAGTCCTTGTGGGATGGTTGCATTTAGGGTTCCTTTTGTTTAGAAATCGAAATCCTTAATCGATTATGGTGTATTTAGGTTTTGCTTAGGAAAATCAGCTTCTGGCTGTGTTCTTTATTTTGTGACTCTAAACCAAACATTTTGGATGCTGCTCTCATGAAAATGTTGATTTCTTGTTTGTGGTTGTTAGTTGTTGTTATGAAATCATGGTTTGCTCTGTTAACTGATTCATCCATTTCTTGAGTACTTATGAATTGTAAATGGATGCTTGTGTCTCTTCTCTGTGTAATTTTGGCTTTGTCTGATTAATGTCATAAGTTAAAAAAATTATTCATGGGCACCCGTGTCCTTATACACCCAGAGAGAAAAAGGGACACCAGTGTAGATGTCATGTGTAATATGATGCGATAAATCAGAGAGAGAGAGAAATGAAGAGTGTCAACTAGGTGTGTGTATATACTACATGAGTATTCATTCATGTTTCATTACTTTTGATATTCTATCCAACATGAACACAGTGTCTAACAGTTTTTCTGCAGAAGATTCTTTCATCTGATGTTTCAATGTTTTAGTCAAGTTACTAGTGTCATGACACTTTTTTATTTTGTCCTTTTGTTTTTCGTATGAATCATTCCTTAAACGGCTACGTTGTTGTTGTTTTTCAATTTGTATTGATGGCTATTGTGGATTGCGTATCCTTTCTTTTCTCTAGTGGGATGGGGGTGCGTAAATAAGTTTTCAGCCGTGTGAAGAGTTGGTGAAATTAGGCATTTATGATCATTGTGAAGTTTGTACTAAATTTGTTTTATCCGGAGGAGATTCCTAAGGTGTAACTGCAATGAATCACTGTCCTAGGGGCCATGTTAAACTCTATTTAGCCTAATGATTTGATTTAAATATGTTTTTAGGTTACATAAAGTTAGGAAGTTTTGATTTTAGTTTTTTTTTTAAAATTTCTCTGTTTTTTATCACTATAAAATTGGAACTATTGTTTATAGTTCTTGTTTTTTTTTTATGTGATCATATTTTAACTATTTTTTTATTTATTAAAAGAATAAATAATTATTTTATGTATTATCTATAATTGTTATTGATATCATATTGATATTTAATATTTTTAAATAATTTTATAGGCCTTTAAAATAGATAATATTTAGTTGTCTTAAAATGATCATTAGGGACTATAAATAATGAATATAGATTTCAAAGGGATTAAAGTTAAAAAATATTTTACAAATATCAAAATTAAAATTTACTCAATTTACAAAGATTAAAAATAATGTTTATAAATTTTAGAAGAATGAAAAATAAAGAAAAAAATTTATAGAGACCAAAATCAAAATGTATTTATAAAGAATAAAAATATATATATACTTAGTTTAAGACATTGTTTAAGACATGAAATGGATAAAAAAAAAAAGAAAGATGTTTTATTAATTTCTTTTTCCTTCCTCCTTCCTCCAATGGGGGCATACTCAACCTTCAATTCCCTTAAGGGTGAGTTATTTACAAAAGATAATATAATACTTAAGTAAGGTCTTAACTTAAGAGTCATAAATGCGAATTAACAATAATTTTTACTTTATCGTTCATCATTATTTATATTAATTATAATAAACTTAAATACTTATAGTAAATATCATCTTATTATTGATAAGACAATGTGCAAAAGATAGTTTATAATTAAAGTACTAGTCTCAAGATGTAAACTTCAGTTTTTAACCTTGTATATAAGCCTTATCCCTTACTCTTATGTATAGGTCTTGGTCTTGGTCTCACATATAATCTTCGACTTTAGTATTTATGTCAATAAATGAGTTTTTGGTATTTTAAAACCTATCTGGTAATTTGAAACTCATCAAGTATACATACTCTAAAGCCTTAAAGAACTTCATGACATAGAGGATTTTTTATCTCATGCTTGTATCTTTTAGGAATTCGTGTTCAAAATGTGTCTTTTCAATTCAAAAGTTCTTGCTAAACATCATCTTGCCATTTTTGAGTAGAAGACTATATCTTTTTTCACTTAATCATATTCTTTTAAGTGTCACTTTATTATAAATGTGTGAGAGGTTAGATCTTTTTATTTATCTTTTTTTTTATGATTTATTTTATAGTGGGTATACGAAAAGTTAAGTCTTTGACGACCGTTGATCATTAAAGGATTGAATGAATTAGTGTGACAAAATTCTTTATCAACAAAATCGTTATTATCTTGGTCTACTTCGTTTAGTGATATTGTTGTGAGATGATGAATTTAAACACTCCATTTTCCTTACCTCTGCGGGTAGTAGTCACAAGGGAATACAACCAACAACTAAGAGAAGTAAAGAATAACTTATTTGATAGTCAATTTAAAATAGAGGAGGATAGGCAACTTGAATGATTTTGGAGAAAATCACATATTAATGTTATTATGTAGTAAATATTATTAATTATCTTTATATTTTTATTATTACTTTTAACATAAATAAACTAAATATATGAGACACGTGTCATTTCTATTGTTTTAAATTGTATCATAGTTTGTGGTTGAATATCTATGTGTAATGCTTTTTTTTTTCTTTCTTTTTAAATGATATGTAATATTATGTTTTATATCTATCTCTCCTTATCATTTAATAAATATACGAATTAAATATATTTGTATTGTTGAATTTTTATCATTTTTTGCTTTTAATTTTTAAACACTTTTCTTTTATTAATTTTAATCAGTGAACTTTTATCAAATTTTATTTTAAGGTTATAAATTTTTTTTGACAAGACATTTTACATGAGGTTTTCTTAAACAGTAAAACCAATAAAAATCCATTTAAAATATAAAAATAAATTTTAACAAATATTGAGACCTAAGATCATATTTAATCTTGGATATAATAAATGAAGCAGAGATTTTACCAATTATTGAAATCAATAATCATATTACCTTTGGCTGATGGAAATGGATTCCGTACCTATGGTAAATTTTGATGAAGATCAAACAGATATCATTCTTAAGTACATATTTTGAATGGAAATATGAACCGTTCGATCTTCATCAATAGGATCCGATTGGTTGTCTGCACGAACGCGTTCAATTAACGACCTTAGGGAATCCGGGCAGAAACGACAACCATTTCTGCATACAAAAGGTTTCGAGAATTGAGAGGAAGAATCAGAGAGAGATGGTGAAAATCTCGGTTGGTGGATACGACGATGGGGAAGGACCCAGCAACCGCAACCAGAAGCGACGCAGGGAAGAGGAAGAAGAAGAAGACCACCAACCGCAACAAAGCTTTGAAATCGTAGACCACCCTTCAATTGCAACACAAGAACACGAAGATCACCCTGCTCCACCCAATGATGGTGGATCCAACGCTAACACAAACGCCTCTGCAGCAACTAATGGCAGGGATAGGTCCATTCCCATCTTCGTTTCCGACCCTGATGTCCTCGATTGCTGCATTTGCTATGAACCCTTGAATGCCCCTGTCTTCCAGGTTAATTTCCCTTCAAAACCCTCCTTTTCTTTTTTCTGATCTCCATGTTTTGTCTCTCAAGTTTGCATTTTTTTTTGGGTTTTTCTTGTGATGATTATATGGAATGTTCTTTTCTTTCATCTTTTTGGTAAACTGATTCTGGATGGGAAAGAGGGGTGAAAGGGGTTTTGTTAAGGGCTTGAGAATTTCAGTTGGGATTCTCATCGCTTGAGGGCTGTGGTTCAGTTTTGTGTAATCTTGAAATTTAGAGGTTAAAAGGGTTTTAAGTTGTTGATATTGGATTAAAGGTCCAGTATGTGGGTAGAGATTTGGGTTGGTGGTTACCCATGCGATTTGGTGAAGAAGTACGGTATTGAAAGAGGGTCATTGAACTTAATGGAATGCTTTAAGCACATAGCCATTCGTGTTGATTTGTAATAAACTCAAGAAGACTTTAGTTCATTGAAAATGTTTCATTTGGTTAATGTAACAAAGTAACCAACAGAAGGAGGGGAATTCCCTGGAAATTTATTGCAATCAGCTTGACTGATTATGCAATTTTCCTTTAGCCAAGGTTTTCCTAGCACACTATTTTGTTCCTTTTGTTGTGTGTTTCTTTTATGTGCTATCTGTTTTGTTGGTTGTTTCATGTAGCCAAATATCTAATTTGATAACTTTCCTCGTGATTGAATGACAATTCAGTGTGAGAATGGACATATTGCTTGCTCTAGTTGCTGTGTTAGACTCAGGAACAAGTGTCCCATGTGTTTAATGCCTATTGGATATAACCGTTGCCGAGCTATTGAGAAGGTGCTGGACTCTATCAAAATGTCATGCCCGAATGCAAATTATGGCTGCAAAGAGACATTTAGTTACAGCAGGAAAAACGACCACGAGAAGGAATGCATCTATCTACCATGTTTATGCCCACTTGCAGGTTGCGATTTTGTTGCCTCATCCAAGGAGTTATTCCTTCACTTCAGCCATAGACATGTGGGCTTTGGAACACAGTTTCAATATGATAAGTTTTTCACTGTCATCTTAAGTACCGACCAAAAAACAACTGTTCTTCAAGAGAAAAATGATGCTAATCTGTTTGTTGTTCACAATAACCATGAGCATCTTGGGAATGTAGTTCGCATTAGTTGCATTGGCCCCAAGTCCATGGCAGAGTTTCAGTATGAAGTTTTGGCTAGGTTTCGAGGAAGCACTCTAATATTGCAATCTTTTGCCAAGATCACTCAAGGCCAATTTGCTGATGCTCCTCCAAATGCGTTCCTTTTGATTCCGTCTGGTTTTTTTGGCTCTCGGCCACTGAAATTGGATATTCGCATAAAGTCACAACATTAACCTTGAAATGGAGATTGAAGCAGGCTGTATTTTCTCTCTATGTACTGTGTATTATGGTCTATTTCTGTATGTATACTCTTTGTTTAGAGTTTAGCATGTCAAATAGTTTATTCTATGTAGCACAGTTGACTTCTGTGAAGAATGTTGCAGTCATTAAGTAGGAAACTAAAGAACTGTTTTATGGATGCACCTTCTGTAAATATGAAGTATGCCTAAAACATATTATTACATATGAATTCTGTCCGTGTCTCTTGAAATACACATAATTTTTGTGTGGAAGTGTTAATAGGCTCTTTAATACATAGACGTATCTATGAGCCTACTTGATACAGGCTAAAAGGGTATGCTCTATATCTCATTACTCTGATCTATTTTGGTATTTTGTGCTTCACTATACCTGCCCTGTTAGTTATTAAGATGTCTTTCAGCCTGGAGTAGCTGTGTTTTCTGATCCCCACCCATTCGTTTAACTTTCTTTCTTTGTCTCACCCACCATTTTGGCCCCCCTTGTCCTATCTTCTTTCTCTTCGGGATTTGTTCATTTGTCAACATTCAGTGAAGCCAATTTGTGCTTCAGCTCAGGAAGGGTGGGGACTGAAAGCTTAGATGAAGTAGGTCATGACTCCTGATCAATAAAGAATTTCATTTTAAAATTGAGAAAGGGACTAATTCCTTTTATGTTCTTTTTCTTGGTTGTTATCTCGTTCTTCAGCAAAAAGAAGCTGAAGAAGGTTCAGTTTTTCCCATCACTTTGAGACTCCAAAACTGTTTTCTTCCAACTTCAAAGCGAAGAACCTTTCTTCAATCTAGCGTCAGATGAGAGGTGACATAATTTTGCTGCTATTTAGCCTATCTTGGCTTCTCTATAATACATTTGTACATGATTTTATTTTCCAAGTTTTGTGTAGCTGTTTGAAACTAGTTGATATATCGAAATATACCCATCTTTTTTTAGGTAAGGACGTGAAGTACAACAAATATTAACCAAGAAAACTTGATTAAGAACAAGGTGGGGCCTTGAACCTCGTTTCAACATCTAGTCCTACCAACCTCATACAATTCACAAGAAGCATCCATTTCATTATTAATGTCATTCAAGAGGAACAAAAAGTCTATTGTATATACATATATATAAAAAAGGAGACAGATTAATAAACATGTGCATACTTAAACGATCTAATAAAGTAGAAGGAAAAAAGTGCCTTAGGCTGATAAAAAATACACATACAAAAATACTATTGCGACTACAAAGATAGGATGAAGTCGGTTGGATATCAAAACCAAGAACATCAAAACAGAGACAATCCATCCCCATGGCATTGATGATGACTCTGACACAGCATCTCCATCATGCAATCCCGTAACTTTTGGTGAGGGAAGCATGAGACGTCCACCTTGGGCTACGAGGGTCAACACTAGAGGCAAAAACAAGAGGAACAAGTTCACGTTGGTGGTGGCTGTCTGCATGGTGTGGTTTAAGTACGAGGATACCCATAGCAAGAACACCACGATGCCAACTATAGCGAGTAGTGGCAGAGGAGGAGCAGATGACAAAGTGTCCCCTGTCCACGCACTATTCCATTGTGAATCCCTTCTCTCTTTCAATGTCGTAGCCATTCTTCTCTCAACTTTTCTTGTGTATGTATAAACTTGGATTTTATTCAGTGTAGTGCTTTTTGTTACACAATAGCGATATATATAGAGACACAAAGCTGTAACTGCCTCTGACAGTCTCCTATTCAATGTGCCAGAATAGGATATAGATACAGCTAGTGTTTAAATCTGAATTGAAGGAAATCTAATTGCTCAGGTACGACCGTATATAAAAAGTTGGGATCTTATCCATGTTGTCTCTCATAATATACATCGGGACATATCAATAATTCCTTTTTAAATCTAAATGATTTTACTAAAATAATCAGTCCAAAGTATTTTTCTATTTCATATATATATAGTTGTAAAATTTAATTAATAGTCTCATTAAACTCTGATATGGAGTTATATTAAATATTAGAAAGATAAACTTGAGGAAAAGAAACTTTGTCGTTCCAACATTTCATGGACGATAGTAAAGGTTTTTAAAAAAAAATATAGGTGATCATTTCATCTATGATATGCCTTATCTTTGTCATAGATTCCTAGGCAGGGAGGTGTCTATTTGATTAATGTTATCTCTAGCAGCAGAACTTTAATTTTTAATTTTCATTTTGATCCACCGAGTTGGGGTTTGCACGTGTTTGAAGGAGAATCGATGAACAGAGTACATTCCCGATTGTTTCATGCATGCAAATTAAAGCTTCATATGAAAGGTTGAGTATGACGTGTCTCATCCTAGTGCTGACACTTGGACAAGAACGCATCCAACTGACAATTGTAATTTGCTAATTTTAGTTTTGATGTATATCCTCGCCTTTTTTTTTCTTCTTATTTTTGAGAAGTATACTCATTTTATGCGTTTGATAAATATAAAATTAGAGAATGAGGAGGCAGTGTATTCGAAGGAAGCAAAGGAGAGTCATCTATTAGTAGCCACACTGATCGCAACCGTAAGTTTTGCAGCTGGGATTACCCTTCCAGGAGGTACCATACAAGAGGGGGATCATAAAGGTACCCCAATTTTGGGGCAAAGAGCCTCCTTCAAAGCATTCATTATATCAAACGCTCTAGCGATGGTTTTTGCAATTTCTGCAGCTTCTATACATCTTTCCATACCACTCACTAAATCCAAATTCAAGGATCATTTTTTAACTCAATATGCCCACGCGTTCACTTTAGTCGCGTTACTAGCCATGATTGTCGCATTCGCTACCGGCACGTATGTCGTATTGGGACCTTCCCCACTTGGTATTGCAATTATCACTGTTGCATTGTCCTTTTTCATTGTAGCCTACGGTATTGGATGCTTTTGGTGATAAATAGCTGAAATAGGCCGTTACATAAGGGCAAGGCTTTTCTCTCTCCCAAGTTATTAAAGAGTATGTAGTGGGTCATATTTAATGCCAGGCCGTTTAGACCTATGCCTTAAGTACCAGAGAAAATAATCTTATGTATAAACGTTGTAACAATTTTTCATTTATTCAATTCCACATATAACAAGTCTAGGCTATATATAATTCTTTATTAATGGTTAACGAAAATAGAAAGCATGAAAATTCAAGATTAAGATAACTAAAGTTAATTACTAACTTTTTTAATATTAGTTTCGTAAAATTAACTAGTAGGTTGATTAAAAACTTATAAGTTGTTGGAGTTAAAAAAATTGGAAGCTTATAAGTTTATTGATTGAACCGAAAGAAATTATAATAAGATGAATTGAGAAGTTGGTTGGTTAATGTAAAATGACATTTATTTATTAATAAGAAGATTGAGAGATTAATATCAACATAAAATTATTTAAAAATTAAAAAGAATAAAAAAATAATTTTAAGTAAATTAATAAAGATATCAAAATTAAGAGTAAAAAGAAAACTAAAAATTTATAAATTATAAGTTACTTCAACTAGTTCATAAAAATAAGTGATAAACTCTTAAAATAAGTTCACATATAGTAAACAAGTTTATTTTTGATCAAATAAATTTATAAGTTAGTCAAAGAAACTTATAAATTTTTATTATATCTTACCAAATATACTCTAAATTAACATTTAAATGATCTGTATATTATGCTTTAAAATAAATTTTTAATATTATAAATAATAATAAGATAAAAATGATCTTGATATCATAATATATATATATA